ATTATTAATTATCTATTGTTAAACCTTATAATAATTTGACACCTTCATATTCCATTTTAAGTAATAAGAAAGTATTTTTTTTTAATATCTAAATGATATTAAGGAAACTAATTGAAAACCTATCAAAAAGATTGGTGTATTTGACAATTATTTCAAAAATCATTTTATTACTTAAATTGATAGAACTTTATGTCGCCAACAGATTGAGCTACATATTTCTTGCATCGAGAAATACTCCAAAAATTTATATCATTGTAGCACTTCATATTTCTATGAATTCAGTTCAGTGTTTTTTGTTTAATGAAAAATGATTTTATTTTTTTGTAGCATACACTGATCCTTCTGAAAGATTTTCAATTTATTAGAAAGTGATGACGGTAAGAATGTCCGTCGATAACAATTCATTTATACACATAGATTCAAAAATGTTTATAAATTTTTATCTTGAGCTTTAAATGCATAAAAAATATTTTTATACTTAATAAATTCTTTACCAATTTAGCCAATATACCATGTTGTGGAATATTATTATATAATAAATGTATTTATTTGTCATTTTTAATACTATGGATGATTTTCATTGATTAAAATTTTTATCGAAAATGAGATATGTCGTAAAAAAATTTTGTTGGCTTTGTTTGTTGGTTAATATTATACTCATTTCATTATTAGTCTAAAAAAATTATATTTTACTCTTTTTGACCCTATAAAATGTTATAAACAATTCATTGTTTGTAGGTAGTGTTGCTGATGGTGGTTGAAACCCTCCTACGATAACCGTTTGAATTTGTGTTTTTAAGCATACGTATAAGCATTATAAAATAGGTGCACACATTGAAAACCCGCCGAGCCGTTCAAGGAATTCACTACCTCCATGTATTATTATAAGTTATAACATCAAGAGTCCTACAATAATTCTCTTTTACCTGTTTTATGTACGGCATGGGGTCCCCCTCCTTCCACATTACTTATTATAAAATATTATTTTATACCTTTCCAAAACGACTCGACCGCGTTTCTCTTGTGTAGATATATGTGTGTGTGTCGTCACAGACAGCGTACGTGTGTATTGTTGTGTATTATAACATCTATGTATGTGTGTGTGTGTGTGTGTTCAAGGACAGAACGCCGGAGTCGGTTTTTGAAATCCTGCGCCGCAGCCGCCTCTTTACATCTAACGTCGTCTACCGCCATTCTTTCTCGGTCATCACTACGACAACAACCGCCGGGTTATTTTACTTCTCAACTCGTCTGCCAATCGTTGTCGTGTTAGTTTGTCTCATGATTTTTTATTTCGTTTATTTTAAATAATTTATAATATGTGTAATATTTGTTAATTGTTGTTATTATAATAAATTAGTTCAAAAATAATAATTCTTCTTATACGTTACGAATCAAGGTCGTGCTGAGTCGTTAATTTTATGTTTTATATTTCCGTTGACCATTATTTTGTTGATATATTTATTATTAGTGTTACAATATTGAAAACGTTCATTGTAAAGTCTTAATTTCTTATTAATTTTGACTATTAATTATCCTTTGTTGTGCTATTATTTTCTAACGTTTTTTTGTTGTGGTTATTGTTGTGATCACCACCGAAAATGGAGGGAAATAATAGCGCGGCTTTTTGTTGTTGTGTGTTGCTTTAATTTTTGCTCTACAAAAAGTAGCTATTTCCTATTTGTTTTAAAAATTAATTCAAGTTTAATTATTTTAATAATTTTTGTTTAGTTAATTTAAAATGTGTGTATTAATTAAGCGTGTTTTATAATACTCGAAATATAATTCTTTGTAATTATGGTCAAACGGTCCGTGGGTGTTCTTCTAGTCTACACTAAGTAAATAAGTTTGTGACTAGATCTACACTCATCAACTGCTTACCTGTATTTATGACATAAAGAAGTGGAATATTTTTGTGTATTTTCAATTTGGCCTATAATGAATGTGTTTTGAGTAAATTGTAAATCAATTTTGATTATAAAATTACATTTTTTAACTATTTGTGTTAAGTATAATTGTAAGATTATTATTTTATTAGCTCTTTTTTTTTATTTTATGTTAACTAATTGCTCTTTTAAAGGACAATTTATTACGCATGCATTTTACTTGAAGGTATTCGTTTGTAAGACGATTATTTGGATGGCCAAATAATAATAAACAGTAGTTCTACTCTACTCATTCATTGTATTGGTCGATTAACTAGTCAGTTAGTAGGGTTAAGAGTAATTATGGTAACATTAAAGTGCTGTAATAAATTGAAAAATATTTTGCGAACATTTTGTCAATCTATTTATTAATATACACGTTATATAAGGACTAATTCTAAGCAATATTCCTTTGTTTCGTAGACAATTGATAATTTGACAACGTTTGATTTGTAATTTAATTTTAAAACTTGAACTGATTTTATAACGGACAATAAAACTGTGTAGTATCTCTTACAATGAGATGTATGTTATTGATGTTAGTTGGTTGCGTAGGCTGTTGCAATTTAACTCGTAGTCTACCTTCTTAGAAATAATTTTTCAAAAAAACTACAACTCTGCGTAAAAATTAAATGCATTTAAGAATTCAATTAAAATATTTCCAAAGTATAAGTAAAAATATGAAGTATTGAAATTAATTTAAAATTCATTTAGAATTATTAATTATAGACGTGACTTCATTTTTCAGACTAGTCTTTATTTTATTCATTTTTTTATGTATATATAATTACTTCACATTTTGGGAATATTAAAATGTCCCTTAAAACATATTTATATATATATATATATTATAATAGATAGCAATTTTAAAAAATAATGTTATAAAAACATTTTTATAATATAAAAAAAAAATGTTGCTATATGTATAACTATAATACAATATAAAAAATATAATCTATACAATTATAGTACAAGCTTTATATTTTTACTAACAATTTCCGGAAAAATTGAATATTATTTTTTTATGGTTCTGTTACTGGATGGTTTCTTTGTTCACCTTCTTGTTACTTTTTTTGTTTATTAACAAATTGTGATTTTTATGAATAAATAATAATTTTTCATTTAAAAACATATCAATTTAAACTTTATTCATCAGTAATAATAATCTTGTTTATAAAATATTGTTTATTATACACAGACAAAACTAGACCTTTGTCTTTGTACTGGGCAAAAAATATTTGATTGAATTTATAATGAATTGTTTTTTTTTCATCGTGTTATAATGAAATTAGGAGAACTTGGTCTACGAGTGGGAGATTGATATTATTAAGACATTTAAATTAGCTCACCCAATATTTTTTTAACTTAGTTATTTTAGTAAATACAATGTTCAAAAAAGAAGATAGAATCTTTTAGTTTTCTTTTCAAAATTTATTATTTAACATAACCAAATCAGTGTAGTTAAAACGTAATAAAAAAATATTTGAATACTTTTAATCAATATTAAATGATATTTCTACAAGATCGTTTATGTGTAGTCATAATAATTATTTACATTGATAAAATGTGAGACTATTATCTATAGTATTTCAAATTCTATGCGCTGTCTCTTGTTGCTTGGAATTGTTTCTTTTAATTATTATTTTGGTTCTTATAAAATTCTTACATTATGATAATTTAAATTAACCAATTTTGTGACATTCATTATTTCTGTGGAACTAAATTAATCCTGCAAAATCAAGTTTTAGGCTTATTCGAAAAGCGTTATAAATATTAGGTCAGACCATAGCCTAGTCGGTCCGAGCCGTAGTTTCGCCTATATTTAGAACTATTTTCCATTATTTAGTCTGTGATATTACATAATTAAACATTTTGACGACGATACTATTGATTTTTCATTGTATGACAAAAAAATTTAATTCACAAAAGGCCATCATAAAAAATGGCCCAAATATTTTTTATTTCTTAAATAACCAAAAAAAGATTATCATAATATCATCGAGCTTCTATACTACGAATTTATAGGTTAAACAATTGAATTTATTGTTTATTTTTATAAAAAAATAAATGTTGAACATCATTTTTTGTGTAAATTTTAAATAAGTTATTTTTTCTACGATTCTTTAATAGTTTATTTCATATTGAGCTTAAAATGTCATTTTTTTTCTTGTTTTGTTATACATTTTAATATATTAAAATTCATTTTAAAAAAAATGATGACGTCATTTAGTGAAATCGAATAAAGAAAATAATAATATGAAGAGGGGAAAGTTATACGCTAAATACATATTTTATCAATTAATCAAAAATAAAGTCGCAATTTCAGCTCTTAATTTAAAGATTTTTAGTTAAAAAATAAGTACGTAATAGTCATAATTTTTTCTAATCATCCGCATTTTATTTAATAAAACTGTAGTTGTACTAAAATTCATATCACGTATAAGTTCTTCCAGGACAAAATCTCCTTATGAATTTAGTCAACAAATAAAAACATTAATTTGTCCCCATATTTAATTTTTGATATTCATTTTATTTAGTTTCGAACGTATAAGTTGGAGAGCAATACAACATAAACATAAATCCTAATAATTTAATATGACATAATTATTAATGAATGCATAAAGTATTGTAAAACGAAATAAACATTACAAATTAATTTCGCTAATTAAGTATAAAGTATATTTCTGGTTTATATCACCTTCATTTCTTTTCATTACTTAACATTAATTTTACGATTAACTTATTAATTAATTTTCTTATTCTAAATTATAATAACACTAAATTCATATAAATTTTAGGAGATGGGCTTTAAAGATAATCGTCTCTCAAACTTATTCAAAAGACTATATGAAAAAAAAATATATTAATTTTTTTTCTTCCAAAATTAGATTTTGTTGACGGGTTTTAATAAAATTAAATAATAAAAAAAAATTAGTGATATTTTAATTTTGTGGTAGGAGGTAAGGAACATGTGTAACATTTTAATTTTTCAGTTTCAATTAATAACCCCCATTAATACATTTTTACCATTATTATTTGTTATTTCTATTAAAGGTGAACTAATTTACGTTTCAGAATTTACCAGGAACAGACTTCATAAAAATTGAAAACGAGTTCAGTGTTTCTAATATCATTGACGGTACTGAAATTAAACAGTGCGTATTATACATTTATATAAATATATTTTTAGAGTGATATAAAATATTGATGTGTATGAATAGTTATATCACAGATAATTTTTATTTTTTCTGTGATTATACTGAAGTGTTTGCGTTATCTAATCATAAGTAATAATAAAATCAAAACAATTTTCTGTCTGCATTTCAAAGAAAACATGAACATTTTACAATAAATTTTCGTTTTAAAAATCTTACGTTACAAAACATTACTGGCGGATAGTTTAATCTACCAATCTCGTTGAGATAAACGTGTTTCAAATATTTTAAGCAAAGTCATAACAATTTTTTTAGTGTTGAGACAAATTAAAATTAATATGTCCCTCACCTCCAAAAAAAATTACCATTTTTAAATAGAAAACCTTTTTTGTTAACCTCTTAAAAAAAAGAACGTAAACTCATTTTTATCTTTAATTGATTCATTTTTTTTAAATAAAATTATTTTTGTCACGAGAGAATGAAAAACTATTATCAAGTTCAATATTCTGTAATGAAACAATTAATAATGTACATGTAATTCCAACATGACACAGATCACTGAATCTTCTTCCTTGTGTATATCAGGCCTGTGATCGAAATATTATCTAATTGTAATTAATTAATAATTAATAAATAATTGTGACTATGTAATTATTTATAGTTATAATAGAGTATAAAAAGAAAATGTGTAAATATTATGTTTATAATATGAACATTATAGCAATTGATATATTACATTAAACAAAATTGAGTTTATATTGAATGTTTATCGTATGATCACTTATTGTTTTGTATCTTGGTAAATTTAGAATTAAATTTACATTCCCATGTAACTTCCACAAAATATTCAAGCTTATTTTTTAATTACTATCATTAATTAAAACAGTTTTTTCTAATTCGTCGAGACATTATTTTTAATAGAATAAACGAAGTAGTTTTAATTACATAAAACCAAGAACCATAGACTTATTATACAAAGTTTCATTTATCTTAAAATAAATTATTTTTATTTTCTTAATACTTTATATCCGGAATACTATACTATCATAATATTACACTTATTTTCGAATACTTGACAGTAAATTTGTTTTAACTTTAATGTTACTTTAATCGTTTCTGTAATAATCAATTGTTGCAATTATTTTGATAAGAACATTTTTTTATGTTAAGATTTGAATTCATAAGTTAAGCGAACTTTGAAAATTTCTACGTCGTTATAGGGTTCAATACAATATATACTTAATAACTTTTTGGCGTGGGAAAGTCGATCGAGCCGATTGCTATAATATTATGTGTTCTAATTTATTCACAAATCTTTATCGCTTAACTAATTCAAATCTAATTGCTTTATGATAATATTTTAGTTGGCTAAATTGTATTTTCAAATGTCAGTCGATGATCCTATTAGATTTAAATTTCCCTTAAAAAAAATACTTAGCTACGCCCCTGGTAAAAATAAAGTACCCCGTTTGTATATTTTAATGAATTTTAATTAACTCGCATGTATTTGAGTTGTTTAGCATTGTTTACTATTTTATGGTAATGATAATATGCAAGTGATTATCGACAGTATACTTGATTTTTTTTCAAGACGTGAATTCGATACATGACATATTATATGGAAAATATTCGACTAAAAAGCAGTGTAACGGAATAATATGCTATAAATATAGCTTTTTTTATATGTATAATGAATTACTAATTCAATAACAAATACGAAAAAAAAATTTGTGTACAAGTTGAATACATTTTTATTTCTCATTACACTTTTATTATGAGCTATTAGTCAAAAAATTTGTGTACGTCTCCCTAAAAAATTCCGATCCAGTCTATAGCATCCCAATTACCACCCCATGCTAAACTCATGCCAAAGAATCTATTTAATTTTTGTAACATTAAGTCATAAATAAATTATTTATAAAAATTTCAGTGATAATATAATGGAATTATATATTTTTATAGTAAATAACTTGTATCATAATTTTAATAGAGAATATTTGCATTCTTCTTCGGGCGATATTGTGTGCGATTATGGACGGGGAAATATGGATACAAATGCCCCAGCTATAGCTGTTACATCTTTTCAAATTTTTAACCAAGAATCATGGAAACATTTTATCTTTGGCAAAGTAAATTATAGCCGATTTGATGACTATGTTCAAGAGTTAGTAAATGATATAGTACAAAAAAATAAACTACCTGGTGTAACACCTTTATCAGAAATGTATTATGCTGCTGATGATGTAAGTAATCAACAGTTTTTTTTTGAAAGAAGGCTAGACTGATTTTGTTATTTTTTAATTTTGTCTTTATTACTTTATCAATTTGTATTTTTTTGTAATCAAATATTTTTGTGTTACACAATTATAAAATAAAAATAAGAGTGTAGTGTGGCGTATTTAAAGGTAAAGAAGACATACAGGAGTGTGGAAATTATTCAGGCATAAAGCTTATGAGTCATAGTATGAAAATTTGGGAAAAGGTAATAGATAAGAGAATAAGAAATAAAACATTGTTATCTAAAAACCAGTTTGGATTTATGCTTGGTAAGTCAACAATGGAGCCAGTATTTTGTGTGACGCAACTAATAGAAAAGTTTAGGGAAAAGAAGAAAAAGCTATGTATGGTATTTGTAGATTTGGAGAAACCGTATGACAGAGTACCGAGAGAAGTTTTATAGTGGGCATTAATGTGAAAAGGAGTCCTGAAAAGGTACATTAATATAATAGAAGATATGTAGGATGGCACTTAAAGCGTAGGAGGAGTATCAGAAGGTTTTCGGGTAAGAGTAGGAGTGCACCAAGGTTCTGCTTTAAGCCCTTACTTATTCTCTATAATGATGGATGAAATTACTAGAGAAATACAAGTAGAGGTGCTGTGGTACATGTTGTTTGCTGATGATGTTAAGTGTTAATAAGAGAAAATAGGGATGAAATTAATCAAAGGCCAGAGGTGTGGAGATCAGCTCTTGAAGAATAGGGTTTAAGAACAAGTAGAAGTAAGACAGAGTAAATAGAGTACGAGTTTGACAAAGGAGAAGACGAGGTAGGTGAAATGAGGAAGTCAGTGACAATAGGCGAAGACATAATTGGAGAGGTGGAGAGTTTTAAATATTTAAGTTCAGTTGTGCAAAGGAGTGGTATTGACGAGGATGTAAGACCCAGAATTAATTGCGGGTGGTTGAAGTGGAGAGAAGCGTCTGGCGTCTTATGCGATAAAAGAATTCCAATGAGGCTGAAAGGTAAATTTTACAAGACTGTAATAAGGCCAGCTATGATGTATGGTTCAGGGTGTTGGGCAGTTGATAAGAAAGTAAAGCAGAGATGAGAATGCTTAGATGGATGAGTGGAGTAACTAGAAAAGATTAGGATAAGGAAAGAGCATATAAGAGGGAGTATAGATGTAGCGTCAATCGTGGATAAAATGAAAGAAAATAGACTTGGATGGTTTGGTCATGTTATGAGGAGAGAACAATCGGAAGCTGTAAGAACAGTTATAGAAATGAATGTTGAAGGAAGAAGAGGTAGAGGAAGACCAGAAAAGAGATGGAAGGATGCTATTGAGTGTGATTTGAAGACAGCTGATGTGAGCGTAAATGATGTGGGAGATCATGTCAAGTTTTTGAACACCCTATACATTTATTTATGTATTCTTTAACTATCAAATAATATTTTTAGACTGAAATAACTATTTCTGGCAGTTTGAAGTTAATGAAAAAAGAAATGTTTTTAAGTTCATCATATGGTTATGTAAAATTAGACTTTTCAGAAGCAGGGCATGTACAACCACTATTTATGAATCAAATAGCTGTTGTCACTGGAACGAATCCTGACACAAAGGCTTTTAAAGTTAAAAAAATATTCACTAATGCCATGTTACCATTGCCAACAGAAATACCAAATATTTCTCGAGGTAAATTTTTATGACTTCAAATTTTATAAAACACAATTTCACTAAATATATGCTTTTATTTCTTAGGTAATCTAAACATGATAATTGCTGCAGGACCATTCTTCAGTGAATCATCACCTCATGGTACATTTTTGAAAAGTTTAGTACAGAAAGCTATTGAATTTCGTGTGGCTGTTCTTATATTGCTTGGACCATTATTTGAAACAGATTTTGGAATTCAGTTGAACAAAGCGGGATCAGATAGTCTGCAAAAGTGTTATGATGATATACTAGAAGCTATTCTATCACCACTTTTTAGGTCTGCAACAATATAAAAACAATTTTAAAATCGAGAAATACATAGTTATTGTACATCCAGCCTATCTAATGTGTTCAAATTTAGCAATTTCTAAATACACAAAATAAAAGTTATTATTTATGTGAGTATTTATGATATCGCTATTTATACTGTAACGGTGCGTAACACAGTTTTTCTAGGTTTTCAAAATAATCAAAAAACAAATATAAATTATACACATTTTAATACAAAAGGTAATTTTATTTTCATAACTATCTATATAACTATGAGTCTCATAAAAAATATGTAGAAAAAAATTGTTTAGAAAAACTTATCATTATTGATAAAAATCTGAATTTATCTAATTTTGAGATATCTACTGTTGCAGTATAAATGACGATATACTAATGATTGTATCACGTATACTTCACAAGTTAGATGATACATTTATTTCTAAGCAAACAAGTTTATGAAACCTGAATTATATGTCCTACCAATGGTATAAAAAAATTGAAGATGATACATGAAAGAATATATGTGGTATTTGAGGATGAAGTGGGGTAATTTCAAATGCATTTTTTTAGATAAATGCACAAGTGTTTATTTGAAAATTACATTTAATACGATAGCAGTAACACAATAACTTTTAAATATAAAGTAAAGTGTGCTAAATACTTTAAAAGTATACAATTGTCCCATTCGTTTACCCCATTTCACCCTAAGTAGTCTATGTGATATTTTGGAAATAAATAAGTTAAATGTAAAACTGAAAAGTAAAATTACTAGTATTTTCATTGAATTGAAAATAATAATTAAATTTTCTGAAACATAATGCTATTTATTAACTAAACCAACTATATTGTCAAGTTATCATTTATCACATATTAAATTCTTTTATCTCGGAATTAGTATTTTATTATATTCATTACTTCAGCTATAGATGCCTCATTTATTGTAGAGTAACTACTATAGCACATTTCTTTTAAAAGTGTTCTTTAGATTAATATATTTCTTTACTAAATATAGTTTAGTACATTACCTTATTAATCTACCAATAAATGAGTTGCATAAACATAATTGCATTGGTAATTAAAGAAACAACTAAACATAGGCAAAAATTGGATCAGGCACGCCCCCCCGGAAATCTTTAGTTTTCCCTGATCAAAATTTTATTTTTATTGTTATTATTTATTAACCCTTCCAAAATCAAATAAGTTCCACAATAAATAATATTTTTTGTTTTAGTCATTCAGAAATTGGTTACACCAAAGTTATTGTATTAAGTTCATGGAAAGATGTTGGAAGTTATGCTTTCTATCCTACACCACCTAATATGGAGTCTCGTTTACTTACATTGTTTCCAAAGAATTTTTTTGTGGCATCTGATCCATCAGTGTTTGAGATTAACAATGTTATTATAGCAGCTAATACTAGTGATACTCTTATGGATTTACACGTTTCCTCTATTAATCAATCACCGTATGTACTTAATTTTTTTAATTTGTGGCAAATTATTAAATAGAATTTCAAATGAATTAATTCTATTTTATAGAGATGAATTGTGTGCAAAATTGTCAAAACACATTGTATGGCAACGTTCTTTACATCCATCATACACTGCTAGTCCTACTGTACCCATTGACCAATCATTATGGCTGGAACATTGTTCATTGAAGAAAAATACTCCACACATTGTTGTGACATGCTCACAGCTTCGAACTTTCATAAGAGTAAATAACAACAAAAAATAAATATGTTAACTTGTATTGAAATACAAATTTTTCAGGCTGTTGAAGGATGTTTAGTTATAAATACAGGCCAGTTAGTTAAACACAATTCTCAAAAACAAGACATAACTGGAACATACAGTAAAATTCAATTATGTCCACCAAAAGATAATCAATGGTCACCTGAAACTAATGTTTCTGTCGAAATAATTCATATTTAAGTAATTTAATATTTTACGCCGTCAACCACCAATTGTTTTATAATTTATCTATTTTTTGTCTGTGAATATTTGAACTATTTTTATTATTTATGATTCATCTGTGTTCATAAATATTATCAATATAATTCTATTATATATATGTATGTATATAATTTGTAAGTTTTATTTTTGTAATTTATAAAACCCAGAAACTGTTTCATTTTAGTTAAAAATTATACTTTTAATGAGACAAAAACCTAAACATTGCTAAAATTTCGTTGAAACTCCTTTTTTAAAAGAATTTTTAGAGATGTTTTAAACATTTATAGCTTTAGGCTAGAAAAAAATGTATTTAAACAAATAAAACAATATAAATATTTTTTTTTTACTGTGTTAGTTTATTTTAGTTATTTGCATGAAAATTATATTTTTAAAATTATATGATTTTGAGCCAAGTAAAACTAGCAGCATCGATATTTATGATCAAGGCACAAATTACATCCATAGGCATAAGCAAAGTGTGCATTTGGGTTGATTAAAGTTATTATTTTTTATTTATTCTAATTACTTAAAGAATTTAATAAAACTACTTGAACTATGTAATCATATTAAAATATTTTTACTGTCATATAGTATATATATGACAGTATAATATACTCACATATATTAAAACTTTTTATTATAGTTTTATGTATGTTATTAAAACAATATTAGTATTTAGATAAGTCTTAAAAAACATGTTTGTTTATTAAAAAATTAAGGATCCTTCAACCCTTCTGGGATTATAGTATTTTTAATGAAAATGGAATAAAAATAATCTAAATAATCCAAAAAAAGTATTATATTTTTTATTGAATTAATGCACTTTACTACTATTAGAATAGTTATTATAATATATTATTTAAAAATATAAATTAATATAGGTCATTTATTTTGCAATCAATAGTGCTGATACTCTACCTACTAATTTTTTAGTGAGGTTTCAAGTTTTGGCTAGGTTTAGTATCTACTTGTTCAGACAAAATTTAAGTTGTTAAAATTTTAATTAGTCTAATCTGTTCCTAAGTTTGATATGAACATGACCATATTACGAAAAAATAATTTCTATACCCGTTGAAGAAGCACAGACTATAAATAGGTGTTTTACCACGTCTAGCATTTTATGGCTTATTATTTTATTCACTATAGCCAACCACCATGAAAGAGGTTTGACAGTACCACAGTACCAATAACATTTTCATTGAAAATATAAATTTTCCATTATCTTTAAATGGAAGTCTATATGCTTCAAAGATGATTTCTAACACACTCATTGCAAATTTATCCTCAAAAAATATTTTTAAGACTAACCAGATGAATTACTTATAGTACACGAATTGGTTGTATTTTAAAACAACTGAAATATTTTAAAGTTAAATTTGGTATTTTTTATTATTATTTTTAGTCTCTACGACTATAATGTCCAATCATATTAGTAACATTTTGTTTCGTTTCAGATGCCTATTACTGCTACCCCACAGCAGTATTTATTTAAAAAAAATATTTAGTATAATACATAAAATATAAATTATTATATAATTATATTATATTATGATATTTTAAAGTATGTATTCATTGGTTCTTATTATTAATTTTTTTTTTTTAATTAAAACGCTTAAAATAAAAATAAAACTTTATTTAAGCATTAAGATTAGATTTTTTTTAAAGTATTTTCTATCGACCCTAATACTGATACACGTGCGCACACGTTAATTTTAGTTGTGGTTAGAAATTCACATGTAGCATTTTTTTAAAGTAATTTTTCAGAACATCGAAATTTTAGATATTTCTGCGCTAAGGAAAAATGTTCAAATTTTTCTCTTAAATATTTTTTTAAAGTTTTACTTAATACTTATGAATTTATAAGGATCCATTCCTTCTACAAAGTTTTACAATCGTTTTCGTTATCTTACCCTAACCCATTTGTCATCTTACCCCCCACAGTTCTGGTAAGATAAAAAATTTGACATTTTTTCAGGAAAATTCATATTTCGTCTCTTAGAAGATGTAAACAGTGCTCGAATTGGCCAAAAATAAGTAGGGGAGCTCAACTTAACAATTTGAAAACTGCGTCCCTACCATTTTGAAGACTTTTTTTTTTTTTTTTTTACTCATTACTTTATTTAGTATTTATTAATAAATTATATTTCATTATCATACTAATATTCAAAAAAAAAAGAGGTGGTATTTTCCCAACCGTCCTCATAATAAAAAATAGTTGGGGTGCGCAAAAAAATTTAAAAAAAAGTAGAGGAGCTACGTCCCTCTGCGCACCCCCCCAATTCGAGCACTGGATGTAAGAGACTATTGGAAAAATGTATATTGTTAGGCAAGATATTGTAATAGTTCTCGTACAGATTTCAGATTTTTAATTCCATTCACAGAAAAAATCGTAGAAGATTAGCCTCACCAGATGGCGAGGTTAATTCTAAAGTTATCCAAAGAGTTTCTTAAAACAATCTTATAAACATTAATTGGTATTAGAATTATTTTACAGTCCATAGATAAAAATAATAATTTTTTTCCAATCTATGACTAAAAGAATAACATCTAGTTGTCAATTAATGAGGATGAAAAATATTTTGTATTAATTGATCTGGCATATTAAAAAATATTGAAAAACGAATACTTTTCAAAAAAATTGATAAATGAATATAAAGTTGAATTTGCCAAGAACCTATCTTAAGGAGAAGGGTAATTAATTATACGCCACAGAAATGCGCTTAATTAAGTTCGTACGAACGTCGATAGGTAGGGATGCTTAAATACTTTCTTATATCATCGAATATAAATAGAGTAATTCTTTTAACGTGCTACTCGATTTCTCTTGGTAATTATGCCAAGATAATTATTTATGGTATATTTTATATTTTCAAATTTTTCTGTTATTGATTACTTTTTTAATTTCTTATACCTTATGAAGTTATCGACTTTAGTCTTCTCCCAAGCCTTTATCCCGAGTACTTGGGGCCGGCAATCTAAACCTGAATTCTACACGTTCTCCCACATCATCAATACACCCAAAGAAAAACCTCAATCAAAATTGAAAGAGAAATTTTATCAAGGGTTTATGATAATGTTTTATTAATACGAACAAAATAACTATTCTTATAAATAATTATTGTTCAAGACAAGAAAAAAAAATATCATATTGATAAATATATCATTGATTCAATAGTAATGATATATTTATCAAATTGAACAATGAATTTATTATATAGATCGAGGTTTTTCTCTGGGTGTAGACAAACCAGCAGTCTACATATCACCCCTAATTTCATCCAACCACCCTTTTTCGGTATTCTTCTTCTTTTTCATCAACGTTCATTTCCATAGCCATTCTTACAGCTTCCGATTTCTCTCTCCTCATCGTAGTATGATCATAACACCCATTCCTATTTTCTCTCATCTTTTCCACAATCAACGCATTGATAAGGTTGTCAACTTAATTTTTTTTTAATGGCATTATACCTACGTATTTAACTGGCTTATAAAATAAAAAATGATTAAATTAAGGCAATTTTGGATCAATATTACTATTTATTATTATAAAAGATTTTATACCTAAGCCGGAGCAGAATTATGGCCGAGAAAAGCCTAACGATAAATATTGTCGTAACTAGTGATAAAAATAGCAGTACCGCGCCTCAACTCTAGTCGACAATTTAAAAAGGTGGTAATAACCTCCAGTTATTATATAAATTTTTTTGTTTTATAAGCAGTTAATGCTATGAGTAGGTATGTTGTTATTTAATAAAATAAAGTTGACATCCTTATTAAAGTTATGGGATGTGATTTAAATTGAATAATAATTGATAAATCGAGCAATGAATAAATAATTTGCTTAACATAGTAATTATTATTTTTAAAAAATTCAAATGATTAGCGTTGAAAAACTATATTTATTACTATCACATTTTGCAATTTCAAGTCGGACACATAGTAAAATGTGGTCGGACATTTATCACGGATATTTTTCCGGGTATCGCTAATGGCTTTATCAGTATTATTCCGCCTTCTTCAAATTATTTATCTGTTATCATATTTAGAATGATTACGTTTTTCACATCTTACTAAGAACTTAAAGTTACTGAATATTGATGACCTTTTTAAAAAGTCTTACCTACTAGCAGCACTCGATCATCTATTGTTGTTCCACAATATAATAGTACATCTTTAAATGCGCAACTCTATGATGATCGCTGAATATTGTTTGTTGATATTTTCTGAAGTATCTGAGTGGTGATATCATAACTTTTGTTTTTTGGAATAAGCTACAAATAATTACTTCATAACCAAACGAAGAAAAGCACAGAAAAATGAAAAAAAAGGTATTACTAGTTTTTATTACTACATCTGAGTTTTTTTTCTTATGAGAATATTTCTATTCAAATGTTTCAATTGAAAGCTCAAATTCTTATAAACTAAACATCAAATGTAATTGTTATTAAAAATTACGCTCGTAATTTTAAACTTATTTATTTAATTTATTTTAGGTTTTATTGATGGGCAAAAGTGGTTCTGGCAAAACTAGTATGCGGTCAATTATATTTGCCAATTATATAGCTAAAGACACTAGAAGACTTGGAGCGACAAGTAATATTTGATAAGTTCATTGAATAAGTGCTTTCATTAACTTTTGTTTTTTTTTTTTTAACTATTGTGCACCTATAATTTTATTATATTATACAAGTCGCATTTCATAATATTTTTAATTCTACATAATACAATTGAAAGGCAGGAAAATTTTTTGAAGAAATGCTTAATTGAATATTTTGGTTAACACATTTACTATTTACTTAGCTTTATAGCATTTAACTTTTTTTTTAGATGGTTTTTGAGGTGTTTGTATCTTAATTTTTTTCATTTTTAGTTGATGTGGAACATTCTCATGTCAGATTTCTTGGAAATTTGGTACTGAATCTTTGGGATTGTGGAGGGTAAGTATTTATGTTATTAATTTTTATCTAACAAAAAATAATTTATTATTCAACTAAATTTTTTTAGACAAGAAGCATTTATGGAAAACTATTTTGTTAGTCAACGTGAGAATATTTTTCGGAATGTGGAAGTATTGATTTATGTATTTGATGTAGAGAGCCGTGATGATGAATTGAAAAGAGATTTAAAATATTACCAAACTTGTCTTACTGCTATTTATGAAAATTCACCAACAGCCAAAGTATTTTGTCTTATACACAAAATGGACTTGCTCCAGGAAGACCAAAGAGATAAAGTAAATATTGAATTTAATTTAAGAAATGAAATTTCTAAAATAATTAAGTGTATTTTCAAGTGATGGTATTCATTTTTAAATGAATTAGTTAATTAATTAGTATTATCTAATTACACCGTAAATTCATAACTTATATTGCACCTTTTTGTTTTTATTAATTTATTTTTAAATTCATTTTTAATGTAATTAATTAAATTTTACCATGACGATTGTAATACTGAAATTCTTTATTCTAATCATTTTAAAAGCATAAATTAAATATTGCATATTCAATTTGTAATGTTTTTTGCAAGGAATAGCAATTTTTCATGTAAAACTTAAGTCAATATAACTATATTGTATTTATTATATGGGTTACGAGAAGAGTCTTAAAAAACTAAGTTGACAAGCCTCCCACTGATTAAAAATAAATCATATTGACATTTTTACAAGTCATAAGCAAGTAAATAAGAGTTATCTAAGTTCTTTTTTAGCCTCTGCCAAAAAAAATCCTTTATAAGGTTGATATTGATTTATAATTGATCACTAAATTTTTTAAAATAAAATAATTTTGAGAATTTTTTTTTAGTTTTATTCAAGTAGTATTTATTTATTGATACGGGAACATACATATTTTACTAACTCAAATGTTACAAAATTTTTATAACTTTTGATATACTATCATTACCAATCAGTACTATTGTTTTCTTAGTTAAATCATTTTTTACCATTTATTTTGTTAAGAGTAAAATAAATTGAAGTTTGTACACTTATAAGCAATAACAAATTAATTAAAAAAACAAAAAAGTCACTTATAAATTAAGAAAAAATAACACTAAACAAAACCAAATAAAATTTTTCAAAACTATTATTATTTTAAGAGAAATTTAGTGGTTAACGCTAAATAATTGATCCTGTATATATGTACATGAGTAAAAAGTAAAATTTGTATAGTTAACAGAAGTTCTTATATTTAGTTATGTTTTATGTAATACAATAAACAATCAGTTTAAAATCAATTTAGACAAAATTGTGATCTGTGTAATTCTATGCAAAAACTACACTAGTCACTAATTTTTACTGAGACAAATTTTTTGTAGACAAAATTGGTACATCATGTAAGTCTAATGGTAGTAATTTTTTAGAAGACATATGATTATCATCAAATCAAAAAAATTAGCGACTTGTGTTGTTCCATGCAATTAAAAAAGAACCTTTCAGCAACTTGTTTTGTATAAGCAATTAGTAAAAAAAAAACCATGTTATATAGAGTAGATTTAATTAATTTTTCAAATATTCTTCGTCTTCACACACCCATCAAAAAGTTGTACAACAGTGATTTTAATTACTGTCAGATATCAATCATTACTAATTTGAAACATTTTTGTTGTCGCAACATCCCATCTGTAATTAACTTAAAAAAAATCTGTTTTCTTATTACCTGAATTTCTTTTGTTGTTCAGAAAATTTTTTATGAAGCTTGTTGATTGATTTTTGTTTTAATAAAGAGTGTAAAAAGTAAAATCCTACTTAAAAATATTTTCTAGGCACTATTATTATTATAAAGAATGTTCGGGAAGTAAGGAAACAGGTCAGTTGTTACAAACAATAGTCAAACCTGTTTCCTTACTTACCCACCTATGTAATAATTAAAATTTATTAGTATTTTAATTTTCACCTATTGTAAATTATAAATAGATATTTAGAACTAGACAATTTCTAAAAAATTGTATTTACCTAGTTGTTGCGTTGTGTTTGCTTTTAATATTGAACGAAAATACCAAAATGTACTCAACTAATTAGTTTTTTCTTGATACTAGTGACTGATAACATTTATTTTGTATAAATTATCAACCAAGAGAACAATGTTGAGTTGAGTACAAGGTATTGTTTGAACTGTCACTGTCACTGGTTAGGGCACTCGGTCACATTAACTGTTATTGTTGAGTGAAAGATCATTTTATTAACTAGAGATACCAGCGTCCTCTCCAGGACACGGTTTAGGTTTCCACACTACAATATACACGATCGAGAAAATTCCTCTTTGGAGGATGTCAATATGGCTAGTAGTAAAGTCATTAAAAGTATTGATTTAAGTTTTTCTTTTAGATATTTTCTGAGCGTGAAAACGAAATAATCAATATGTCTAAACCTGTACATTGTACATGCTTTAAAACATCGATTTGGGATGAAACACTCTACAGAGTAAAATTTTATTTAAATATTTTAATTATTTACTCGAACCAGGATTTTACGTAACTTAGCATAATTTTCGTTACTTTGCAGGCTTGGTCTTCTATTGTCTACAAATTAATACCTAATGTTAAAGAGCTTGAACAAAGTTTGAAGATGTTTGCTGAGTTAATGGATGGTGATGAAGTGTTATTATTTGAGCGAGCTACATTCCTCGTTATATCGCACTGTCAAAGAAGTTTACACCATGATATACATCGTTTTGAAAAAGTGTCAAATATCATCAAACAGTTCAAACTTAGTTGCAGGTTAATGGTTTTAGATGAATTTATTTAGATTCAGATGAATATACGCTAGATATTATGTTTGGAGCTAGGTTTAAAAATTTGTTACATTAAAATTTTTACTCAAATAATTTCTCACATTGAAAAACGATCGGTTTTCCAACATTCCTTTTCCCATAGTCCACATGCTCCATAGGGTGGTAGCGGCGGCTCTGTTGCACGTGTCAAAGATGGTTCTCGACTAAGCCCATGTTGATCGGGACGGGGGTATTATGGGAGCGGCTTGCATCGGAGACCAGACACTACCTAGGAGAAAATCACGAGAATGATCTCGTTGGCACCTTTCAGATCGAACCCCCTGCTTCGAAACGTATACACGTTTCTACCCACTGGGCCAGACCGACCTCTGTATAATTTTATCGCATTATCAAACTAAATTACATAGGCGTAGTAGGTCGATGGATTGACTATTGCCACTTGATTTTTCTTTGAATGATTATAATAATGAGAAAATGTTGTTTTGTTTTTCTATTTATTAGTTTATGAGGAGTCGTTCAGTATTTTTTAGACCTATTTTTACCATCTGTCATTTACCTGGATATAAAAATGTTGGTATTATCAGAAGGGTGATCGACACTAAACGAATCCCTTCTGTATTTAATACGATATTGAATTATTTTTAATATCGTTGCTGAGACGACGGTAATGAGCCATTCGCCAACACCTTTGTGACCATTGTGCATAAATATTGAATTTAATTATTATTTTTAAGAAGACGTCCCTTATTTAATGATATATGTATCGATATGATCGTACTTTGTTGATAACGAGCGTGTGTACATTAATAACTATGATTTTACAGTAAAGTCGCTGCCCAGTTTCAAAGTATGGAAGTTAGGAACTCGAATTTTGCTGCATTTATCGATGTTTTTACCACAAACACGTACATAATGGTTATTATGTCTGATCCATATATCCGTAAGTAAAAAATTACGTTTTAAATTATAATTAAACCAATGGTGTATGGTCGGCAAAGTGGACACAGTATGCCGCTCATAAGCTCTAGTGCTAAGCCACGCCTGCTATGTGCTGGTTCATCGACGGTTGTTGTACTCAAAATTTTACGGCGGTAAAAAACATTAAATCTGTAGTGAAGAAGGCAATGGAAAACCATTGAACTCAGTATAAGCCAGTTCGACTATAGTTGGCTGATGTCTAACCAAACATTTTTCTGGATGATAACAAAACATACTTTTATATAGCATTTTTTTATTTAATCGTATAAATATCATATATTCTTAAATGTACGCCAACATACACATTTAGTAGTAAACAAACATTTCTGCTGGACATATGTCTTTCTTGTTGTCTGCTATTCTATTGGGTACATCGTTCGCGTTACATTACTATTGAAGTAATCAACTGTTTGTATTTCGACGAGTAGTTGAAAAATATTTTAACCATACTCCTTGTAGTAGTAAATTTTGTAAACTAGTTTTTGTTTCTCTTTTTTTTTTCAATAGTCAATGTACTTCAAAGAAAATTCTAAAATATCACCATCAAGTTTAATCGGTTTTTAAATATTTTACATATGTAGAATATTTTAACTAAAAATAACTTTTTGATACTCCAAAGAAATCGTTAAAGAATATTTTATGTGCTTAATAACATCCGAATTTTTTTATAGCGGTGTTGGTACCGATTATTGATATAGTTTCATCTTATTTTTGCCATCGAACAACCGTTTACTTCGTAAGCAAACGGAAATAGTTAATTAAAGTAAAAAAAAAAAGTACATCATTATTATTTTTTGTTTTTAAGTGAAATTGTGTTGTTTATTAATATATCAGGTATTGTCAAAACAACAACGGTATAATGAATTTTTATATTTTATTAGCTTCAGCAGCAACTTTAATTAACATAAAGAATGCACGAAAACATTTTGAAAAATTGGAACGTAAAAACCAAGCGCATCAAAGTAACAGCAGATAAAATTAATTAAGTGAACCCTTTAATGTGAAATGCATACATGTATGTTGTCTTCAAGGGTTCACTGTTCTGTTATGTTTTGTCGATAAACGTTTATTAACAATCGTTAATCCCGTTTGAATTATATTATTGTTTTCGAATTAGATAACTAAGTCGGCGGTACAAAATGTGTTATTATTATAGATTATTAAATTATTTTGAATAAAAATTTTGTTTGTTAAATGATACTCTTCAAAACGATTGTTTTACCATGTTAAGCAATAATTAATGAAATTTGATTGTTTTGGTTGAATTTTTTTTTTTATATAAATATTTATTTGTGTCATACTCAATAATAATTCTATTAACTGTTTTCTTGTAAACATTCATGTTATACTTTCATATGACGTTATACTTTTATTGTATGCTTTATTGTATAAATGTCCAACTAGTACCACCAATTGTAACAATTTATAAAAAAAAAGAAAAATAATAAATGAAGTTTATATTAAACTTTAATACCCATTGTTTAGTTATTATTGTGTTCATTCTCAGTAAGTTGACATTTAAAACTTAAAATAAATCACTTTTAATTGCACTGTAATCGAATATGTTATATTTCAACAATTTTTATTTTAGTGACAGATATTTTAACATGCAAAGAGTAATTCTACTATTTATTGTTACCAATACATTATATGTTATGGTTTACTTCAAAATTTATTCATCATGATTTTAAAAGTTCAACGTGGTTGGTTTTATAATAATTAATTTTAATACAAGTCTTACAATGATTCTAGAAAATTGTGCATTTCCATTATTGTGTTTATAGGTATATGTGATAGCAATACGATTAATTTTACATTATTTTAATAATTGTTCCTTTAAATTATATAATGAGTGAATTTTACATCTAGTGTTAAGTTTATTGTGGACTAAGTGCCACGGGCCAGTTTAATTTTTACTTGCATAGAAAATGTGTTATAATAAGAATTTGGTGTGGTGTAATTCAATGAGAATTATAATAGTTTGATTATGATTTCACTCTGTTATGTTCACACAATTATGATTGTACAACATTTTGTATATTTATAATGGATAAAATTGAATAGTTAAACAATTTAAACTTGTATTGAAAATTTAAAAGTAAAATAGAAAACATGAAATTATTATTGTTTAAGGAATAAATTTAAGAAATTTTTCAGGAAAGGGAATACTCTTACACAATCAATTATATGTGTATATTATTGGATTTTTGAACTTCATAATAAACCTTTAACCCCCTAATTACTAATATTATCATTATATTCAATGTAATATCATTACATTCATATTTACCCTTTTTTTTTCCAAATTACCAACAAAACTCAATAGTCTTTATTTTATAAGAGAATTAAATAAAGTGATTTACTGAAGATAACATGTGTAAATGTACTAAAAATATGTTTATCTTTCACAAATATTTACTGAATTAGGATTATATGTTATTAGCAAACATGATAAAAATCAAGTTTCTTAAGTTTGTTTACTTTGAGTTACTTTTGAGGTATAATTTTTGTTAGTGTAATAATAGCATATTGTCCCTCAAGGATGATCACATGATATTATTTATATTGATATTAAACAAACTTATTTTTAGACTGAAGTTAAGAATGTTTTTTATATAATATTTTTATTGCTTAGTATTTTTTTTTTTTTTTACAAATTGTGAGGTTATGAACAAAAATCTTTAAAATCAATATTGTTTGGTTATAATTTTGCCTATTGACGATTAGTCCAGTACGGTACCCACTCTGTGTTTTTAAATTTTTGTAACTCAATAAGTATTTGTCCCAACAACTCTTATCAACCCATTAATCATTTTTGTAAAAAAAAAAACAATTACTAAAATCTGACTATTTTCAAATGTTGAAAAAATTAAAAGTTTTTTTTAAATATAAGTTGTAAAAATATGACTTCAATGTAGTGTCTCTAAAAATGCATAGATAAAGAAAAGAAGAGAAGAATGCATAAATTATTAAGAAAAACACTAAAGCAAAATGTTAATTGTATCAATAGTTATTATATTATTATATAAGGTGAGAAGTTATCATTTAGCGGTTAGATCTGTTACAGTTAGTATTTAAGTATGGAATAACATTAATATTACTTTTAAAATGTTAAATACAGTATATATTATATGATCCTTGTTATATTTTCAAAAATGTTAATGATCATTTTTGTCAATGCTACTCTAACAGAGAATAATACTCCAACTGGTTTTGTAAAAAGGATCGAGTATAGCTCTGGTATTAATTTAGTAATCATTAAGTTTTATTTAATAGTTTATAAGGGGTTTATATTTTTCTAAGTACATTGATTGTCATTTTTGTAAGTAGAAGTTATAAAAAGCTCAATATACAATAGTTTAAAAGTCAAAATTAGAGATAATTCTATTCTATGGCAATAATTAAATCACATATAAACATATAGTCTGATATAAATTTGATTTTTAGTGGAATAACAGACTAAAAATTTATAGAAATAACATAAAAAAAAGTTAGAACGAATCATATAAACATGTGTTTGTCAAATTAATTCCATTATTTGATTGACCAAAAGTGGTAAGAAGACTTAGCGTTCTTCTAAGATATCATTCTTTCAATAATATTCGGGTTTAACCACGTATCTGATATAGGAATTCCATTGAACTTATAATTTTTGAATCCTGTGACATGATGTTTACCTAAATACCAATCGACACAGTTACTCAATAAGTTATCATTATTTTTTTCGTCATTTAAATCCACAATAAGTTGGATGTCTTCGTAACAGTCTACACTACAACATTTGTTATTTTCTTTTGAACTAGCTTCATCCAAAAATGAATTGAAACGTAACATGATTTGTTTCCCCCGTAGACAGTGAAATTTTTCTTTTGGCATACACCAATCGGTAACCATAGTTTTGCCTTTTTTTACTTTGAACATAACATACAAGTTTGTTTCAATCATTATGTTTGATGTTAATATATCATTAAATTTATCATTGTTCAATATACTCCTAAAAAAAAAAATACATTTTTTTACACAATATTGATCAAATTTTAGCACCTCCGCAACTAAGTCTAGTATGTACAAGCCTCAATAAGCTTGTACCAGAACATGACTTTTGCTGAGCTCTATAGGTGTTCTACTTTTTCTACAATGAGCAATAGTTTTTACAGAAAAGTACGAATTACAAAAAAATAGATGGAAAAAATGTATATTAAAATTTAATGACATATAAATGAGTATTTAATGAAATGTTTATAGTAAAAGTTTTATAAATAAAAATTAATAATTTTTTAATTACGACAGTTTTAAATAATAAATATACCTAAAAACATTATCAATGTGCTGTCTAGAAGAATGTTTCTTTTCACAATGAGAATAACTTAATTCTGGAACATGAATATTGAAAACAGTAAGAGGATTTAGAACATTGGATCCGATTAATATTACTACTGTTTCTATATGATTATTGGTACGACTAAGAAATTCATTTTCAATACACTGGAAAAAAAAATGTAAAATTTAATAATTAATGCATATTTTTAATGTTGTTATTGGTAAAAATAAATTGTAAAATAAAAATGTAAACAATTTTCATAGTTCATCTTTTAATAACCTAGTTATTATTTTTTTATATAATTAAATTTATATAATATATTGAATTAAAAGTTACAAATTAATTTGAAGACATTAATATAAATAATAATTTTTTATCACCACCCATTTTTATAAGCATTAAAAGAGTAAAGTTTGATTAGAGTAAAGAAAAAAATACTACAAAATCTATAGAGGACCAGTTTAAAACAAAATGCTATTTGAATGTCATATCTGGTTAAGTTATTACATTTTTGTTAACTGTTTAAGTTTATTTACTTTACTTTATTATATAAGTTTTTTAACTCTATTAACTTAATAGAAACTGGGAAAAAATAATTTTTAATGTAGTACAATAAAAATTCCATAAACTAACTAATAGTGAATTATATATAATCTATTTTTATTTTCTTGTATAATATATAATCATAAAACAATCGATACCAACCTTGAATACATTTTCTAGTGAATTTATAGTGTCTGATACTTTTTTGTAATATTTGTCTGATTCTAATTTATATTTATTTTTTTTGTTACAATGGCTGTTGTTCTGTAAAAATAAAAACAATACAATCTAACAACTACTCATTACTATAATATTACAGATTATTATTACTATTACTATTGATATTAATATAAAAATAAAATAATGATCAGTTTTACAACAGTCTTTCTACTTCCTGAACTCAACATGCTAAAAAGCGTGGTGGCCCTCTTTTTTTCACACGTTAGGAAGTGAAAGATAGTTCTTGGTTAAACCAATGATGGACAGGACGGGTATTATGGCCGGCTTGCACCAGAGACAGGACACTATAAATGAAAAAATCACCAGAGAAAACTCGTTAACACCCTGGAACTTGGAGCCCGGGACCCCGTGTCGAAAACGTACCACCCACTAAGCCAGGCTTACCTTTTATTATTGATACTAATATAATAACAATAATGATATTATGACGCTTAAAACTAGAAAAAAAATTTTCTGGCCAATAAAATTCAATAATACATCAATTCTTGATTGGAATGAATAATTTTAGATTTTTAAATATTATTATTATCATTATTTAAAGTAAGCCAAAGGATAAATTATACTTTTATTTGAGTTTATGTATGATATTTAAAAAAGATTCCTCTTTTGGTAAAGAGGATATGTAAACATACACAATGAGAGTTTAAATAAAATCAAACTTTACTGTCTGTGCATCAGATTATCGCATACTTTTAATAAAACAATATATATTATGAATTTTGGCAATATTTAAAAAAATTGAAATTAAATTTATAAATGCAACACTTAGTAGTTTTATTCGAGTAAAAGCTATCAAATTTATAATATGTAACTAAAATTATATATGTTAATTAATCTAATTGTTGTGCGACAAATAATTTACACAGTTATTTAATTTGAAATTGCCATCTTGAACAACAGATGAAAATCAAGTAACTAAATCTGACATCAACAGCAAGATTATGTTTTTGTGAAAATAATTTACCTCTAAATTTAGTTCATTGTATTTTTTAACATACAACTTTAAACGGTCGTATGGATATGGTATAAGCTGTTTTTCATAAACCAAGTACTTCATTAGAGTTGTAATCAAAGTTGTAAACGACTGAGGCGTCATTATATCAGATAAATGAACGCAAACATCACACGTAGCCATAGGATATTATCTATTAAAAATAACTCCGAATTATAAATACAAAAAAAGTTGATATTTCTCTTAATTTAATCTAATTGTTGGTATTTCTTTGTCAACACGTTTAAAAAACGTTTTTGTTTTAAAAAAAAACTGTGAAGTGCAAAACTGTTAACGAAGTTATTAAAGTTACTACTGTTTACTTAAAAAATGATAGTTCTTATTGAAACATATATTTTTCAATAAATTAGTATATATACATCAAAACTCAATAATAAAATTAAAATTACATAAATTTTTTCAAAAAACTTATCAAACGTAACGTAAAAAATTACAGATAGCGAATGGAAACCGAGTTCGTGGTTAAAAAATCTATATAGTAATATATATTCTAGTAACCTTGATAATAACCATAGGGTTGATTGAAAAATATTTTTCTTCCATGATATTTCAGTCGGGGAGTATAGATTGATGTTAAGGTCGGCAGATTAGCGGTTATCTTACTCGGAGTAGATAACTGAGGCTATAGAATACCAATTACACGCGTCCCGTCATCTAATTTTGTACAGTGGATCCTAATCTGAAATTTCTACATATTAAATAAAATTTTAAGGGTTGGGTTGGGTTCTATTTGACCGTTTTTTTACTAGTATATCAATTTATTGTTTATATTTTTAAATAGCTGAGGAGACCAGAATATTCTTAAGAGGATTTTCCCTATTTTTGGACAAATTAGTCAACAATGTAAAAATTTCTCCTTTTATGTTTAGAACATTTTCATAGAATTAATTTTTAATTGATCTAAGAACTTTAAGTGAAACAATTTTTTTCATAAAAAAAAAAACAAACAAAACTTCATCAATTTATGAGCACCGTAATTCAATCATTACAAAAACACTTTAAATATACTGTGACGTAAAACTCGTTTATGATCCTACCATTTAGTTTTTGTTTCGATACGTCAATATTATATTTTTGTTAAAAATCTTCAACATTTTCCTTAAGAAAAAAAAAAAAAATCTGCGCCCGGACAGGGACTTGAACCCTGGACCCTTAGGTTAAAAGCCTAATGCTCTACCGACTGAGCTATCCGGGCTGACGTTCAAACGGTGTCAATTTTACTCTTCTCAGTCAACAGTTTTTCCAATAATTCGATAGCGTTTACATAAAACTTAATTTTTCAATTTTATATCCCCTTCCTAACAAAAAGAATATTAATTTTCATTTCGTTTAAATAACAATCGTGTGTCCTATTAAGATAAAATGAATTTTGAGATGTTTAGGAGGGTTTAACTTTTAATTTTTTCTATACCTAATAATACTTTTGAGTAGTATTATAAATGTTTTTTCTGAATTTTTAGAAGGGTTTGACCTCTTATCCCACATCTTACACATAAAAATTGTCTATGTAAAAATCCAATTTTTATGGAAGTACTCCCAGAAAGGGAATGACAGTGGAAAAAACACCGTCTCCACGGTAAAACAATATATCGCATTTTGGAGGGTATAATGAAATCATTTTTTATGCATTTATGCTAGGCAGTGGCGATTTGTGGGGGAGGGGTTAATGGGTGTCAAGACCCTCCAAACCAAAGCCCACCACCAAAATATAAATACCCATACCTTTAGAATAAAAATGATTGTTATTTTCTCCATACCTCGTGTTATTCGTTTGGTGAGTGTGTACCTTCTTTTATTATAAAGTTTTATTTTTCTTTTAAGTTGACCAAATATTAACTCATCGTTAACTACTACAGGTATTATTGAAACAGCCTTTTGTTTGTCAGTAACCATCTTCTAGATTCTTCGTGTAATACAGTTTCTTCTATCAAGTCCTAATTTTAAGTTTAGTTTTTAAATTGTCCACTGATTGTTAAGTTTTTAAGTAATTGTCTTGATTATTTCACCGGACTTGTCTAGTCCGGTTGGAACTCCTATGACCAGACCGGTCATAGGAGTTCCTCCTGGTTTTTGATTAAACTCTCCAGCCTTTTTCCCATATGTATACTAGCAAACTGTTTCCATTTAGTCCGCAATCGCTCCTTGTTGTACAGAATGATAATTTTCTCGTCCAGTGTCACGCACGTGGGCTGGTCACGCGTCCCAAAGGGCACACGTATGTTAGTTTCCCCCTACCCCCTACATAAAGCCAAAAGGCACATTTTGTTGTGTCAACCATTTTGTTTTCAAAGTTTAGTCTCGGTTTTCGTTTTCATTATACATTAATTCATCAATTGCCTAATTTATCGATGAAAAAAAAACGATATTATTATTAAGTATACTCGTACTTTTACTCGTTTTACTTCGACTATCTACCACCGGTAATAAAATGTGTTTAATAAATAAAATTAAAACAAATAAAATTTGCCATCAGGATTTGTTTACTTCTCCTAACGTCGAAGAATTATACTAGAAAACGGTAAATATTGTACGTTAATTTTTTTTTTAACAGTACGTAAGGGTAAATTTCCTACATAGACACTCTGAATTTAAGGCAAGTAGACATTTTTGAAATTTAAACAAATAAGAATGACTAAAATGTTCAATATTATTAGGTCAAATGAGTCTCGACTGATATTTTTATAGATTTACTCAACGTTTTTTATTTTATATTATTACATTTATTTTTTGACCGATAAAATTATAAAAACAAATATTTTTTGGTTTCTTTTCGATTTTTGAATTCAATTCAATCTTTTTTTTTTTCAAACTAAATGTTCTATTACTCATTCAATTTAGATTTTATTTTAAATACATGTTACTTCATTTGTATATTTTTTTTATTATTATTATTATTTTGACACATTTTTTTTTTAAATATATTTTTATTATGGTATAATTTTACATACGCATATTAATATACGAGTACATGACCCATAAAATGAACATTTCGGCTATAGCGAGTCAAATAAATAATCGTCTAGAAAAATCATTCACCTTTCAAGTTGTCATCGTCTTTAAAACTTATAAGTGAGGTCAGATTCATTAAACAAACGTTCGAACGAGTGATTCAATCACAGACACTTGAAGGCTTGTGTAAGACGATGGCAATTCGAGAGGCAAATTATATTTTGCATGTTAAAGATTTTACAATTCTTAAACTTTGTATTTAAATATATTTGAGACGTTCATTTTTTAAAAATAAATTGTCATAGCGTTCTCGTCAGTGTAGACTTCGATGAATAAGCTTTCATTCAAAATATATAATTTATACTAATTAAACTTATTATTAATTTTTTTAACGTAATCCAAGTACAATTAGGAAAACGAAAAATAAATATTAACACAAAATATATATGTTAATAGTATTTAAAAAGCAAGCGTTGGCGACAATTAAGTCGTAATAGTTAATTTAAACAAGTGAATCGAGAGCAGTTGTCCGACATCGTTGATGTCTCCATCGATGCTATACTAAGGATACTAAACTTACTAGTGATGTCTTTTTGTCAAACAGATAGTAAATAAAAAAAGAGCGATTTTATTTTACTTAACAAACTTTAATGTTTGCGTTTCTTAACGCATCGCCAGCGTTGCTTGTGTTTATTTATTCGTCATTGTTGTGTTAGTGAGTACATGTGATAAAATAAATAAACATAAAGTAAGATCACAGAGTTATATTAAAAATTAATTTTTTTATTTAAAAAAAAAACTGAAAAAATAACATTAGAAATATGTTGATAAAAATATCATCAGATTAAATTTATAGTCGTCAATCATTATCCTTATCATCACAATCCTCACCGTCATCAGCATTCACATAGTCCTCAATAAGATTCGATTGAATGATATTTTCGACCTCTTCATCACTTAATTCTATTACGTTTACCTTAGGCGACTTTGGTATTATTTGTTTTACTCTTTTGCTACATTCCAACAATGTCGATCGACAAGCACAATATTCGCCGCCTTCTATTATCCTAAGTTGCATTAATTTACCACACCAAAAAAGGCCAATCATGTAATCTACATTTTCGTTTAGATTCGAATCAAAATACAAAGTGAAACTGTAATGGCTATCGACGATATTTTCAAATATTTCGCTAAACGTATTGTTAAATACATCCTCTGAAATCATATTATAAAAATGAATTTATGTGTAAGATATTATCGGAGCTCAGGATTTCAAAAATTTATAAAATTTGTTTTATTCATCGGCGTCTTAATACATGAGAACTTTAGTACATTAGTGTTAAATAGATATTCGTGTTTTTTATTCTTAATATTAAACAATGCGTATTAATTAGGAGTTTATTTATGGAAGGCGTGGAGGAATTACTGCCCATTAGAAAAAAAAAAGTAATATTTTTAACTTTTCACAATGTTGGGTTTCGGAAGTGACCTAAATAAATTTTAAAAAGGCTTGAAATCCTAAGCCCCGTTTATTATTATCATATTTTATTATTATAATAAATATAAATAATTGTTTAATAAGCCAACTGGTTTACCAATTAAATTTGTGTTATATATATTTGACAATTTTTCTTCCAAACAGTTTTTCAAGGATACAGATGCTTTATTAACTACTTCAATAGATAGCTTATCATCGCCTTTAATAACTCCAACGACCACCTTTAATATAATTATTTCGTCGGTTAACAGTACTTTTAAATTAAATCGTTTATTATTAATGTATTATTTTTCTAGGTTAACATTTTTATCACGTGTTTATAATTAAGTAGTTAATCTAAAAACTTTTATGTAATATGGTGTATAAAAAAAAAAGAATCTAATAATTATCCAATAATATGATTTTTGATTAACGTTGCGTTTTTCATGAATTAAGATGGATTAAGAGGGTTTAGCTCCGAGTCTAATTAATAGGCCCGAAAATTTAGATTTAGTAACACATAAAAACATTTTTAGCGTGTAAATTTACCCTATCAACATTTATTTAGTTACGACTATACGTGTAAAATGTATGACGCACTTCTATTTATCACGATAATCAGAACATGTTGAACAAAAAATGTTCTATTTTTTGGCCATGTCCTCAAATAGACGAGTAACAAAAAAAGTAGATTATAATCGAATTTTAAAATTAACAAAAATAATTAAATTTTTAAATTAAAAACATTGTAGTTACGTACAATTGAAAAATTTTAATCAACACACCAGTTATAATAAAAATCGCATTTATTAGAAAGGAAAAAATTACTTACAAGTAATGTAATTGCAAATGAATTCATTTTCACTAAAAAACTGAATATAATTTATTTAAACTGAAATTATTGGATTTGAAATGTTTGTTCCAATTATTTTATAAATTACACGAGACGGTACAACTGGACAAACTTAATTAATGAATTATTCATTTCACAATAGATCATTTGTAAATAAATTTAAGTTTTACACATTATTTGTATAGAAATTAAAAATTTCAAATTACAATAATTTTTATGAGTAAGTTTTTTTTTAAATTAATTGACGTAACAATTTTAAAATTTATTACCAGTGTTATTATATGCTTTGGAAATTAAAAAGCAACTAAAATTTTTGTTAAAAAAGTATTTATGTAAAAATGAAAAATGTAAAAAAAATAGTTGTGTAAATATATACATTTAGGTATTTAAAGTATAATATGTACAAAACACCTGAATTAACATACACTAAAAATATTTCCAATTTACTTTTTGGTGAATTTTTTAAATATTTTAATTAAAAAAAAAATTGTTTAATTTATATAAGGAGTGGAACGTTAATTTAATGATAAAATATTTAATTTATTTTATGATCATCTCGTCTTTAATGTATTAAAAGTGACTAAATGCCAAGTGATTTCCAAAACTATTTTAAAAACACCAAAACTTAAAAAAAAAAAATACACAAAACAAGCGTATAATATTGGCATGCTCAAAAAGAGTAGTAAAAGATTTCGACAAAAAATTCTCCCAGTGATCAGTCGTATAATAACAAAATAGTACGAAAACTAAATAAAAGCAATAGAATATATTTTGTTTTTTAGTTATTTTTCCATTAGTTATTCATTATTAGTTGTTGTATTAGTTATTTATTAGTTTCCATTTAGTTATTTCCACTTAATTACTATCGTTAAAAATGATCTGTACTGCAACTTATAAAAGTGCACAGATCAAACCATTTTTCAATCACTAATTCATTATCTATATTTAGTGATAAGAATACAGAATGCTAAGTAAAGAAAAACATATTATCACATATATGATTCAAATTTGCAAATTTTGTGTAAAATTATAATAAAATTTTATTGAACTTGTCTAAATTACTTGGGATGTTCTTTTTGTATTTATCTACTTGAAACAAATGAATACGCCAATTTATCGTATTGGATATATGTTTGTTTTTTGTTTATTTTTTTTTTAATTTTAACATAAACTTAATTTATGTTATAGTTATTATATATCATGTATATAGTATACCACACTGTGATAAGTAAAAAAAAACTTATTTTAAGAAATGAGTTTTATTATTACTCGTGTATAATATAAGTTCTTGTCGGACAGCATAGTACACAGTGCCGCTCTTGCCGGTCATCAAAATATTTCAATTTTTTTTTGTCCGAATCATGCACATGTTATGTTAAATTTTATATTATCTCGTGTAGTTTTAAACTCCAAGCACAGTGCGCACCATTAATTTTACGTCAACGTATTAATTGTATTTTTTGATTTTCTCTAATTAAAGTAAAGATGGGTTGTTCAACTAGATACGTTATCGCAGCCCATTCTCCGACTCGCTGCCGGCTGACAGCGGTACGTAATCTTATCTTCAATGAGACACAATGTTAAACAGAAGTAACCACAATAATACAAACAAAACGGTCCCACCGATAACAATAAAAAACAATGCAATTGTCAATTCAAGCTCTTCACAACAAAACACAAGCACCGCCACTTCTCCAGCTCCATCAATCATCTATCAGGATCAGGATGGTTTTTTAACCCCGAGAAATTCAGCTAGACGACCGCCGTTATCTTTGTGAAACTCACCCTCTTCTCACCTTCAGGCTAAAAAACCAATGTTTACGTCGGTAAATAAATCTAACTATATTTCTATAGAAAATGCTCAAAAAAATAATAATTCTAATAATAATAATATAAATAACGGTAATAGAAATAATACGGATACTGTGCTCTAAATATTTCTAAACCATTGCCAAATATTTGTCCGTGGTGTCGAGGACATAGCGCAGTTAGAATCTTCATTTCCCGTTAAGAACGATTCATTATGGAAAGCCACAAAAAATATTTTACGTAAACGAGCTACCTTAGCGCCTCCAAAAAACGATAACTTAAACTATGCAATACACGGCCGTGACAAAGCTGTTTAATTTGGTTCTCATTTCGGTCAAGTTTTTCAACCTCGCCCTGACATTCCGATACACACGTCACTTAGTAAGGACAGAGATTTACTAGCAGTGTTTCTACCTGTGCATATTCCAACTAAATCTTTTTTTCCTGATGAAGTACAAAACTGTATCTGTTCTTTTCCACTCGGTAAAGCCCCAGGCTATGATTTAATTACAGCTGAGGTCGCTAAACAGCTTCCTAAAAAAAAACACTGAATTTACTGACTTATATTAATACTTTGTTTATCATATCTACTTATGATAATAATAGTACTTGGTCTATCCACTTCAATGGAAATTCTCCTTCGTAATCCTTGTGCACAAAGATAGAAATGCCATAATTAACCTGCACACCAAAGTCATATTATATAAAATCCTCATTAACCCAATGTGGTCGTATGGTATTAAACTATATGGGGGTGCAGCAATCAAGTCGAACATTAACAAAATCCGAATTCTCCAATCAAAGTGTCTTCGCTGTATACTCAACGCCCTTTCTTCTTTACTTATCTAGTGATCACAATCCACAATCACCCCCCTTACTGTAAAACAAACTGCTATCTTCGGATACAAAAAATTCCACAACCGACTACAAAATCATTCCAATCCTCACGAAAAATTCCTACTAATCCTCTGTAGTCGCCTACAAAGATCTCGGAGTGGGTATCTAATTCAATTATAAAAGTAATTATGTAATAATAGCTCTAAAATTTTAATAAATTACTAAAGTCATATAAGTTCCGCCACTGGGCGGGCTCTCTACAAATTGTTTTTTTTTTTCAAAATCATTTGTATATAATAATTTATCATAAATACTTATTGTGCATTTTATACAGATTGTTATTTTTCTACAGTAAAAATAAAAATTTTTTTACTCGCGTAAAATGAATAAATATCTTTAACCAAATAATAACATATTTTATATTTTTTAGAAATCGTTTAAAATAAATTGCTAGAATAATCTAAATTTTAGAGTTATTATTTTAATTTAAATATTATAGGTAAATAATTAACAATTATTGTCTTCTATAATTTTATTTTTTAGTTGTATAGTATGCCTGAACAAACGAAATTAAAATTATTATTAGTAATAATAATTTGATTAATGGATAACTATGCAAGTATGATAATTGATTTTGTGTCAACACCTCTTAACGTAATTATATTCTTTCGGGTAGAATTTTTAAACGAAAAAGACAAATTGCCTAGTCATCCCATCTTAGTACAAAAAAGTTTAATTTTCGGTTATAATTGAGTTGGGTTTAGTTATTTCCTAGAACACAATTTATAGTGAAACATCACTATATTGTTTAAAGTATCCTCTGCGACACGCTATTCACACAAACCTAACTCAAATACAGTAAAATTTAAAGTAAATATTTTATTAATTACTACACAGTAAATAAATATATATTGAAAAATATACGTGAACAATATTTTTTTAGAAATATCAAAAGGTCTTAGAAAAACTTTTAAAAATATTATTTTAATATGAATATTGTTAAATTATATAATTACTAATAGTGATACCCAAATAACTATCATAATTATTTATACGCTGGTCAAGTGATAAATAACTGTGGATTCCCTTACATCGTATACATTAAACATTTCTAGTAATATATATGTATTAAAATTTGAAATCAAATGAATGTTTTAATTTTACATTCAGATATTCGAAGTTAGTTCACTATAATAAATCTGTTATATAATTTTTAAGTTAAATATATCTTTAATTATTCTATAATTATATAAGTTACTTATCTTGCATTTATATCAGAGGTATTTTTCTGATCTATTAATATATTGTATGTTTGATTTTTTTATTAATGATTATTTTTTGTTTTAATATATCAACAGTAAACTAAAAATTACTTTTTTAATAATGTTGTTTTTATCAGTTAAAAATAACTTCTCAGATCAAACACTTTTATTTTTATTGTCGTGTAAAATAAGAAATGTATTTTTATAAGTTAACAGTTACTTGAACCAACTATAGGATTATGTAGTGTAGCCTTTGGAAATTGCAATTAGGCATAATATAACGAAAGAAATGTGTAAAATATTTTAATTTGTTTCCATCGTAAGTTATGTATCCGTATCTATTGAGTAGTAAAACTTAGACTTTAATTATTATCTTGACAAAAAAAAAATTGTAAAGTATCATCAAGATAAATTATTAAAAAACATTAGATAGATCATATAGATGAAATTTAGATGAAATTGATACTAGAAACCTTAAATTTATGCAAGTACACTCGTAACATAAATAACTGCAAATTATTCTTAGTTATATTAACATGCGTTAATCAATTAAAAATTTTCATTATGGAACACATAAAAAATATTTTAGGTAAGTTGTAAATTTAAAACAATGAAGGCTTTTAAATTAAAAATTTAACACAAATTTTAGCCTCGATGCGAAGCTGAGAAGGTAGTTTAACTATGATGTTTTTATAATACATTAATACGCATTAATAATTTTTAAATAAATATAGTTTTCCTTTTTTTTGTTATAAATTAATAAATTTTTAAATATTTTGCGGTATTAAATAGGTTTTAACTTGGATTTCGTCGTCATCTGAATCATTTATTAAATATTCAGATTTTTGGAAAGCCTCTGATGGCGTAAGTAAGAAAGTATTATTTGTTAATTCGTCATTAGAGTCATTAAAATAGTTCGCATCTCCATGATTGCTTTTATCTATTTCACACGAACATTCTAATGAATTACTCTTCATGATCGGATTAATATGATTCAACTGAGGCACAAAATTAAAACAATCGTTACATTTTTGCACACTATTTCTCGATGACGAATTCGAAAGTAACACTTTGTCGTTTTGATGATCAAATAAATTTTCGGTTTGGATATGCGGTTTTGTATCTTTTATATTACAGTCATTGTTTAACAGTATAATATCTTTACATTGTTTCGTTAAATTTTCTATTTTATTCATAATTAATTGTAAATCACTTTTTTTATCCTCTAAAAGTTCATAAGCATTAAAATCTTCTATTGAATAGTCGTCGTTTTTTTCAGATTCAATCGAATTACCGTTTGTTTTATTTATTTCGTTATTAGATTTCTCGACGATTGGTTGAATTTTTACACCATTCAGTAGTTCTTCCGATAACAGTTGACCAGATAATATTTGTTGGACACTTGCCTTTTTAATGATATTATTCATTGCCGGATTTGGACTCGTTATTATTTTATAGACGTTTATGAACTTGTTCAAATCATCCACCGACATTTTACTTAGCGCTTTGTCCACTTGATTATTACTCGAAACTACTTTAGGTTTTTTGTAGTCTGAGTAAAAATCGTTGTGAATAAAATGATCGCTTGAACCACTAGAAGTCATACACGATTCGGAACACAAGTCATCGTAACGATTAATAGAATCTTTTTCTACTTCAATAGAACTTTTAAAGTTCATTATTATAAAATCGTTGAATTTATTTTAAGCATACACAATTTAATTCAAAAAAACCTTCGCAGAACATCAAATTTACATCCGTGGTAACAATAATATAAATATCGTGATAAATAAATTTCAAAATTATATGTATACTGTTGTCAATATTAAATATTTGAAAAATTTACTTTATTGGATAAAATACAACACTTGAAAATAACATTCTTTGTTTTAGTTTGCATCAATAATTTATAATCGTTATTTAGAGCAATGAATATTTAAATGAAAAAAAAATCGTGTAAAAAACATAATATAATTATTGTTTTAATACTTAAATTAATTTTACGAGTAATAGTTCTCATATCTTAAAAAAAAAATTATTTTTACAGTAAATCGCATGTAGTAATTTGAAATTATCAAATGTGTGTAGTTTTTTTCGTATACTCGCTAGTGTTAATTACAGTTAATTATATTACGACAAATTTAATTTGTCGTTGTTGATGATGTAACCAAGTAAAAAAAAAAAGACTCATTTTTTCACTAAATTAATTTTTAAATGGAAGTATGTACTATTTTGTAATAATCAGTTTATATTGTTTTTCTTCAATACAAACTGTGAGTTTACGACCAACAGGGGTACGTTTATTGAATAAACTGTATGGACGCGAAATTGACGAATCAAAAGATATTTTTAGTAATCATCGACTTTTTAGATACAAATACCGAAATTATTACGACGAGTTAGTAAGTTTGTATGTTAAATTTTAATTAAGGCGCCCGGACAACTGATAAATATTTTCTTAGGAAAATAAAAATAAAAACTTAAAAGATTTACCTAATTTTAAACGAGAGACAATTTCAAGATATTTCATTTGTGGTAAAAAATTATTTTTATGGATTCCAGTATTTCGGAAAATAAAACGGTATAGGAAATTTAAGTTTCCAGAATAACCAATTATTTTCTAAATGGTTATTGTTGATAATTTAATCATTTCGCATATACCTAATAGCATTCTAATCAACACATAATGTAGTAGCTCTCTCATATTATGAGAGAGCATAAAGAAGTTAATAGTTTCAAAGTTATAGCCGAATAATTTTCACATAATTTTGCTGAAAATATATTATGATCCATAAAGTTATTATAATAAAAAAATTGTTCGACATTTTCGTGATTGTTCTGTATTACATGTAATTTGTATTGTTATTTTTTATTCTTTCGGTTGAACTTATTTAAAAACAGATTTACTTTTTACTTATTTAGAGTCTCCTTCTGAAAATCATTTAAATCGATTTGATCAACTCTCTATATTTTAATAATTCAATAAGTGAAAATATTATAGGAACAGAGAGAGCGCTTATTACCTCAAACGGTGAATTGGAAAAAATTATCATCTGACGATAATTATTGGTTTTGCGTCGAAGACGGAGATTTTCAATTTATAGCTACAATAGTACTTATTGTATTGGTAATAATGGCTGTTTGTGTTATATGTATTTTTGCAATATTCAGATACAGATTAACTGCAGAAGATAACTGTGAAACAATAAGCGATTCAGATGATTGTAAAATAACGATTAATAGCCCCAACGGAACATCCAATAATCAATGCAACTGTCCAAATCATCAGTAAAAGCCAATATTTTATTTCATTTTCTTTAAATATATTTATGTGTAAATTATACTTAAATAATGGTAAGGTGTTAACTTGGTAAATTGTGTTTATGTTAATTTGGAATTTTATTAACTAATAAACTTCAATAATATTACATTTCTGGTTGTTAATAATTTTCTAATTTGGATTGCGCTTTTTCATCATAATTCTAGCAGCAGAGTAAAAGAGATTTTGGCCGGACTAAAACCCTTAAAAATAATTATTCTCATATTAAAACATGTTACAATTTATGTATCACATTTTGTATTTCATTTTAATGTCAATTGTCGATTAAAAAGCAACACACAGTGTTCGTAAATAAAGTAAAGGTGGCCAATATTCATAATTTTAAAATTTGAGCAATTTTTATTTCCAAAATAAAAAGTTGTTTGCACACATTCTACCGTATCCAAAAAGTGTTTTCTGACAAAACTGAAATTTTAAGTACATCAAATACTACATATACTATTAATACAATTATAATGATGCTATAACTTTGATTTATTTTGAATATTCGTAGTATAATCAAGACAGTATCGTCGATAAAAAATACAGTCATAAAATTTATTAAATATTATAAGTCCATACAAAATGTGTTATCATACATGTAATATACGGGTATAACAGTTATTTCATAATGTTACCTACACTTGGACCAAATTTTTAAGTTCAGCGAATAATACTATTGTTAAAACAGAAAAAACCTACATGTCATTCAAAAAGTAGATGTTTAATATGTTTAATGATAATCGACAATTAAAATTGTATATAACTTACTATTGTTCGTTTTAATTATTGTGAAATAATACAGTTTATTTAATATTTTTTAACGATGGCTTTTAGCTTCGATGCGAAGCTGAGAAGGTATTGGTTTTACTAAGATGTGTTTTTTTTTTTTTTTTGTGTCTGTTACCACTTTTTCTCAGCTCTCACCGAACCGATTTCTTTCAATGATACGTCAAAAGATCACAAATCGTATCTAGTCGAAGACATTACCCTTAAAAATTGAAAAAAATTCCCTCGTTCCCCGTAAAAGGGGGAAACCTCCAAAAAAATTACAAATTTAAAAATCGCTAATTTTCGAAATTTTTTCAATTTTTTTTACTTAAAAGTGCCATAACTTTTTCAAAAATGAACATATCAATATAATTCTTTTTTATATAGATGCATAATATCATTACCTTTCATTTGGTATATTTTTTTCATAAATTTAACCCTTAACCTGCCCACAAGGGGGGATTTAAAATGACAACTTTTTCACAAAAAATTAATTTTTTTAACTTAAATTTTGAAAATGTTCCGGAAGGTCTGACACTTTTATATATATCTTAAATTAAAGCTAATGTAATATACTTTATCATGGTAAAAAAAAATTTCGGACTTTATTTTATCTTCATGGTGAAAACAGACATTAAACTTAATAAAAAAAATACGATTTTTGTAAAAAAATTCTTTTTTATATTTTTAACTTTATAATGCTATAACTTCTCGAAAGATGTATGGATCAATATAATTCTTTTTTTTGTAGATGCATGATGTCTTTACCTATCATTTGGTATATTTTTTTTATAAATCTGACTTTTTACCTGCCTACAGGGGGGGATTCAAAATGACAACTTTTTCACAAAAAATTGACTTTTTCAACTTAAATTTTGAAAGTGTTCCGGAAAGTCTGACACTTTTATATATATCTTAAATTAAAGCTAATGTAATATACTTTATCATGGAAAAAAAAAATTTCGGACTTTATTTTATCTTCAAGGTGAAAATGGCTACCAAATGCTATTATTGTGTGAAAATTCTCAATTTTATTTTTTACATTTTTAACATTATAATGCTATAACTTATTGAAAAGTGTATTGATCAATATAATTTTTTTATGGGAAATACTATTTTCTAATAATCTCTTTTTTATTCGACATACTTTGTCTTAATCAGGATATTAATAAGGAACTAGCAGTTTATGAAGCTTTTGGAATAATCCACCAATTTTTTAAAATTAAACACTATCTAAAGATTTGCATCGAAGCGTTTTTTTTTGATAGTGATTTTAATCACTGTCAGATATCATTATACTTGATCCAACTATGCCACGTCACCACTGTGCCCCGACCCCCCTGTGATGGGTTTTTTTTACCTAAAATTACACGTAATAATATTTTTATGTTATGTACACTAACTAATTGGACTACACATACACGGACGCACTTAAGAGGGCGATACTGAGTGTATGTGGCCAGGGCGGCAAATATATACAAAGCGATAGAAATTATAAAGTTGAAGAATTTTTTTACTTTTGTTCCTTTAAATAAAAAAAAAAAATAAAGACTTACTTTGATGAGCGAAATAAAAATATCATTGGGATGGTACAATTCTTAAATGCAGTCCTGTACACATATTTCCCGATAAAAAAAAATATTGCTTTGTATTTCGTTTTAAATATTTTTAATTCAATGAAAACAATGAAAACGTACATAATGTAAGTGAAAAGTTAATTATGAAGCTGGGGTCTAATACTTTTTTTGTTACCTTTTATTATTTAATTAAAGTATATTTCTATCAATATTATATTTTACACGTTTTTTGATTATGAGTAGAGCTCAGAATTGTATGCAATTTCGTATGAGCTACTTCGAAGGGTCCCGACTTTGTGCAACTTTATCGTAGGATTGTATAGGAACGTAGAAATAATTTTCATTTTAGAAAGGGATTAACCTTTTTCCTAATCATCCCAAAACCATAACCTCGGTAATAGCTCATTACTAAGTTTAACATCACCTATATCATACAGTTACCAAATTGATTTAGCACTGCTGTTTTGATCATTACAATCCGTGGATTAGATTGGAGGTGATGTTGTTTTTAATATAAAGCCAACAAAAATCCCTTAATAAAAAATTAATCACGATCAATCGAACACGATACAATGCAGTTTCTATTGCATGAATAATAAATGAAAATTACATATAAATGTTCGCGGTGAAAACTTTTTTCGCTTATTCATTTTTAGTGTAGATCTTCTCTGTTTATTCAAAACATATATTATCCTAAACTATAGTCAAGAATTGTCCCTTAATATAAATATTAAAAGATTGTGTTTTTAAACGTTGAAGTATTTTAAAATGTTATCCATTTTCAAGTTACTTCTTTGTAGGTACCAATAAATCAAGTTGTTCCTGCAATAATAATATATTTGTTAAAATTCGAACGCTTCAATAAAAATTAACTATATGTCCACATTCTCTATGGACACTCTCATTAAAATACACTCCAAATAGATGAATGAACAAAATTATATATAATTTCTACGTCGAAAAGGTGGTAGAAAAAAGGGTACAAAAAATAGGAATTTCCATAAATACTCAAGTTGAAAGTTTATCTTTAACAAAATTATTTATGACTAAATCGAGTGTATTAAAGTAACGTATTTTTCATTAAAGTAATAATATAGTTTTATATTTACTTTTAACACGAGGTAATTGTTATTGAAAAAATTTAATTCTTTCTTATATTCTTTTGCTCTATCCATCGATTCTCTCTGTATGTTGACAGTCGTTAACGATAATTTAGTTTTCGCTTTAGCTAAGTTTTTTTTTAAATTATTTGATTCCTTCTCTAAACTGGTAATTTCATCATATAAATCACTAGTTCCTTGCTTAGCCTAGAATAACATGCGTACACAGGAGAATTCATTGAGGATATGACACTAATTTTTTTGGAAACTATTGAAAATTTTCGTAAAGGAAAATCGTGTGTTTTATTCGAAAAACTTTACAATAATATGTTGTTAAATATTTTTTTTCTATCCCTTTAGGAATAAAAAAAACTTAAACTTTAATTTTTTTTTATTGGGTTCCTTTATTATTAGTTGATGATGATTTGATAAAAAAAAAAAACACGTTTGACTCTAGTTCGTGAACATTGTACAGATTATTTTCAAAAAAAAAATACTGGACCTTAAAGAAATGAAAATTCATAATGAACGTAAATTTTATTAAGAATATGACATATTTCTTTCAGATGGATATTATATTTTTTGAAGAGAAATGTTTGCAAAACATTGATGTTATTCAGAAAAATAAAATCCCGTGACATGCTTGAGTTAATTTTTGAAAATATATTTTAGAAATAAAACAAAAAATTATCGAAATTAATTCTCTACAAAATTCCGTTACTATTATTATTTGTGAATAATTACTACCGGGTTATTAAAGTTAGTTTGGAAACAAATCTTTTTATATAAATTTGAATAGATGAGGAATATTTAAGAGTGATCAGTGTTAAACAATTCAAATAATTAGTTGTGATTTTTATTAGAATATTTGTTGCTTATGATCCAAAAATCTAAAACTTAAGAAAACTTTCAAGTTTTATAATAAGTATATCTTATATATATGACACTTGAAGTAATTGTAGGTTTATTAAACACAATTCTTCTTCATTTTTACCGATTTAGATATTTTGATTTTACTTGTTGAGTTTTTCTCAAGCTAAACATTAAGCCATCTTCAAATATTCTTCTATAAGCTTTTTCGGAGATATTGAACTCTTCACGTATTCTGAGTAATAATATTGCTTGATCTAATGAATTGGCACATACTTGTCGAATTATTTCATCTATGTAAACAAAATATGGCAGTATAAATTTGTGTAATAATATTAATGTTCGGAATATTTTATATTATTAAATATAATTTTCAACTTACTAAAACAGCTAGAATATAATGCTCTTCTGATTCGACATAACCCCCTCGGTTTTGCTTGCCAATAATCAATTTGTAATCGAAGATCATTTTTCAATTGCAATACGTCTTTCCGGCTACTCGGTTTCGTTGATATTTTTTTGCACCATATTTCGCCATTTTCGCTCCACACTATGGGGGGTGTTATTTGATCAAATATTTCCTGATTGTAGTTCTCGAAACCATCACGTCGTTTAACACAGCCATTTTCTAATTTATTTTGTTCGACCTTGGAGAATACGAATGATTTTTCAAATATATATATAATAATAGATTTATTTATTTTCAATAAATATGGGATGATCCTCTTGGCATAACCCACTCGATTATTTCCAAAATTAAAATATTTAAAGAAATAATAATAATTCCTATATCGTTTTTATTTTTTAGATAATTAAGTGGTTTAATTCTTGGTAAATTATAATAAATGGATAAATTTATTTTCCATTATATTATATATATTCCATTATTAATGGACGAAAAAAATCCAAACATGTTGTTTAAAATAACAAATAAAAAATCATCAAACAAGATGATAGAAATGAAAAAAAAAGTAAAAGTCGCTTGTATCATTCATTGTGCTAAAATTAAAAAGGCAAGAGGTATGAAACAATTTGTATTATTTGTTCGCTATTTGAAACAGAGGATCGGATTGAAATTTGATTGACCTAGTAGGCGATAAAAAGAATATTTTTATTAAAATTAGCTACTTCAAAGAAGTGATTTTTACCTAGCCTTTTCAGACAATGGGTAGTGAATTATTCCACGATAGACATCGACACAATTAGGAGTATCGCAGTGTGTAGTTGAAAAAATAATGGATTTCGTTAGTAATTTTAAATAAATAAAAGTTGTAAACGGTTAAACTATTTAGAAGGTGACTGTTAAAAAAAAAAAAACACTAATTTTCTCCAGGACTATTGAAAATTACATATTTCAGAAAAAAATTATCTATTTAAAAAACTAAAATATCACGCAGTTGAATACATAATTTATTTTGCTTTAGGGTAATAGTATCTAAAATTTAACTCTCTTAAATAGAAACGTGTGATTTTGATTTTACTTCTTAAGTCTATATACCGAAAATAGAAATGTTGGTGACCCCTTAGTCGACGTTGGTGACAACGCCTCTTTCTGCCGATCGAATGGCTACTTTCAAGGGATAGTCAGAGACGGTATTGATCGGGTCTATCCAACGCTCCGCGTTGGTATTTTTCCACGGCTTCTTATCTCTTTATTTTTCTTTCTATCATCGGATTCTCCAGGCTCACCATTTATCCCCCTTATGACGTGATCGTCAAACAACCTTAGGATCCTCTGCTTACGCACCACTATCATTCTCAATTCCACATTTAGCTTGGTCAAAATTAAAAAGTCGGTCCTTTTTTTCATCCAAGAAATGACCTCAAAATCCGTCTAGATTAGCTCACGTCTAAAGTGTGACACTCGTAACGTCACATTTTTACAACTTTAAGTGTCCACCTTCCAGATTCATATAGCATCCCCAAGAAGATTAAGAGAGAAGTAGGAATGTCCTTGAGCAACTGCAACTTGCTATTCTCGGAGATATGGATATCCTTCAAAATCGATTTTACTACACGATGTTAAAATTTTAGTTTTAAAATATTAATAAATTTCTATTGTTATTTCAGAGTTCATAATACAGTAGTTATCATTTTAGTTTAAATCATACAGTTGTGTTTGTGGATTCATTTATGTTCAACTGTATGTACATAATATCGACCGAGTGGTATGTATCGATTACCCAACTTATAGGATATCAACGCAGATTTTTGGCACCTCCACCAATATTAATAAATTTATAGTAAAAAAAAATATATTTTTACTTTAATTCGTAATCTTTAAGCTAACTTAACACACTAACGGTTGAACCGCGTAAAAGTTTTATGATAATTAAATTGTTTGTAATTTTTATTTTATATCAATCTGTATTAAAATAAGGTATTTCCATTTAAAGCAATATAGTTTTAAATATTTTAAACAAAAAAAAGTATAAATTTAACTACATAATATAGTAGAAATTTGTGAACGAATTAATTAAAAAATGTTCAAAAATTTCTCAAAAATTGAATGTTTTATCTATAACTGTTCATAACGTACAGAGTCGGATTAAGCCTTTTTTATAGGCTTGTGATGGTGTGTAAAAATTATTATAATAAAATACAGATGGCGGATCCGTTACTAGTGACTGATGAATTGACAATAAAACATAATTATTTCAAAATTAGCAATCATCCAAAATTCAATTTAAACTCAAAGGACTCGTGGTCAGTCGATTGCAATACGCAGTCTTGTGCTTTGTGTCATTCATCAGTCTCAGTGCTCGGTTGTCGCCGTTCGGCTTACTGTATAAAGTCAAGTCTTAGTTCTTTCTTTTCACCTACCTACTTTCGTCCTCGACATTTCAAAATACTTGTGTCTGGCATTTCGTCCACACCTCGTACTTCACTATCCTTTCTCGAAATCAAAGTACTTGTGTCTTGCACTTCGTCTGCACCTCATACTTTGGGATCTTTATGCGTACACGTGGTATTTTTGTCCTGCATTTCATACCTAAGTGTTGTCCTTATTCCCTTCCTATAACAACGGGCTTTCGACACCCACAGCCAATCCGGAATGTCAGCCAAGCACGTAACTGCTATATGATCTTACGTGCATAGATATCCAAGCAGCAAACTCATCAACTTCTTCGTATCTACTCTACACTTCCTTTAATGTTTTGTTTTATATTATGAGAGGCTTTAGACTCAAAAAAAAAAACTATTGAAGAGGGTGCCAAGTAGTTATTACCCTACCTGAAAAAAATTGTATACATTAAATATAATTAATAATGAATGCGCCAAATGCTCAGTATGTTTTATATTGTCAAATTCAATAAACTAATTCATCTTTTTTAAATTTCTTGTAAAAACTCTTGTTCGATTGATGTAAATGATGACAATTAATCCCGATTCACAGTAGACCTTTGTCAATTTTTTATTATTTTCAACGCCGATTTGTTTTAGTAACATATCATTTCAAGAAAATTGACAAAAATAACCAGTTTCGTTGCAATATCTTCTACCAGTGCCAAAGGATAAATTTGAATTAAATCAGTGGCTTTTATATCTATATAACTTTTTAATAATTTATTATCAGTTAAAAAAACTAAACCCGTCATTTGATATTTTATACGCTTTTTTTTTAATTTAAGTAATTAAAATATATCTCACCATCATTTGTCTTTTTTTTTCTAGAGCGTTTTCCCCTGATTAATTCATAATAATTACTGATATCTTCAAAATCTATCTGCTTAGTTTTTTCTTTACAATAATCAAATGTTTAACTCATATTTTGAAAATTTATTGAAAGATTTTCATAAAGTTCAACAACCGTACTTATTTCTATAACTGGTTCTTGTAATGATTTGTTATCAAAATAAGTTTTTTTTTGTAAAAAATATTCTAAATAACACTCACAATTAACGTATTGAAACGTACTAAAGTTTCTTAAGTAATGATTTAGCTTTATTGATTATGGCGGAAAGTGAGACTGTCTAGGATATTGAAATATCGTTTAATGTTTGACAAATTTCTAAATAATTCAAAGTTTTATACTTAATAGAATCACTACGTTCACTATGTATTTTACACAATATGTAGTTCATTAAAAATGTTTATTATACATTATTTTTATGATAATTTTATATGCAATTAATATGCATTATTTTTACGCAATTTTCTTTGAGTACAGCAAAGAAAACAACTTAATGTGCGAAAAAACTACAATTAACATAACAGGAAAAAGAACTAATTGTCAAACAACAAATACAAAAACCAGATGTAATCAACTAACCGATAGCTGTCAACAACACGATAAAAACAACAATATCGACGTTATCAGTTATCAACTGATATAAAAACTTACCACAACAAGCCAAGCCGACAGTATAGTTACAACCACGAGTCTGTAACTATCGCTCAGAAGATGAACTCTGCAACGTCCAAAACGTCAGCTCTTAACTGAAAACGTGTATACATCCATAAACATTTTAATCAATATTATACATTACTTTTTTTTTAATTATTTTCACCTGTACTGCATCAAATTTTTCTATATTTTCTCTAAACACTGATTCTCTTTCTGTTGAAAATGTTATAGCCGAGATCACTTTTTGTAAAACTCGTTTCTGATATTATTTTTTTATTTAATTGTTTGATTAATTCTCACTCGGGAACAGTTTTCAAAATCTAACGTTGCCTTAATGGCATTTGAATAACTAATTGATCTTTAGTGGTTTTTGTAATCCAACTAATTGTATTTTTTATCGATCAAAAGAACTTTGAAATTGGTTTTTTAACTGTTGTTTGATTGGCATTGGAAAAAATGTTTACAAACATTACGAAAAACTTTCTCTGTAGATTTTGAACAAATTAACTCTGATCTCTTGTTATGTGTTCAGCGTTTTTTAGAATTCTAATAAAACACTCTTTATGTTTCCACGTATTTTTCTTACCAAATACTCTAGCAGAGTGTATTGAAACCTTGTGATCAACGTTTTGCTCGGATATTTATCTGTGATAAATATTGCATGATATTTTGATTAATATTTCATAATATAGGATCATTGAACACCCGTTACCGAGGCGGAGAAGTATGTAACAAAAAAAATATGTTCACGAGAGGAAAAAACTGATTAGAACTTACAGAAATCGGTTTATTTTCGGCTGCATTGTAATCAATTTTCGGGATACTCGATGTACTTCTATCCGTGATATAAGTACCTCTATCTATCGGCGGCACTGAGAAGTTCTGTATCGTTTCGTGTAGTAAAAAAATGTTTGAAAAAATTATCATGTACAACGAATCTCACTGATTGGTTGCACACGCAGACGTAGATTTAGTTCTATAATTTTTTGTTGATAAAATGGAGGTGAACGCGAACAATTAAGCTTTCCGAACCTTTTAGTTTTGCATTTTTGAAAATATTTTCAATTTCAGCTGGACTATATTTAAATTCAATTATACGTTAAAGATTAAATCTCACCAAAATTGCTTTGAGTATTGTAAATGTTTTTCACTTTGGTCGGACTATTCACACGTCTTTATGTGTATTCGTTTTCAACATTAAATAGTATTTGTATTTTTTAAGTATAATCGACTGTAAAATTCGGTTGAATGTGAAAACAGATTTTAGTCTGTTAAAATTGAAAACTGCGAATAATGATTCAAATTAGGGGAAAATATATAAAAGCGCTTTACAGAGTATTATAATTCCTGAAAAAATTATTATTACCTAGTAAACCTTTGGAAATATCACGGAGATGATGATGAAATAAATTTAGTACAACTCAATTAATAATGTAATAGCAATAGAAAAATATTGATTCGGTAGAGCGGCCCCCCCACAGGTTGTGCAATTCATTAGCATGTATTATTATGTGATTAATTGAGTTTTTTATAAATATAACATCATGATAATAAATAACAATTATTAAATAAATTATGAATTTACAAAATAGAAGTTTAAACTGTATTTTAGTATAGTGGAGACTTTATATGTATGGAAACAACACGGAGCAATAAATTTAGAATACATTAAATTTACCTGCACAATTTGAGACCGTTTTTTTTTTGCGATGAACATTGACGATCGAGATGAAATTATGACGTTATCAGACAAGGTTGGGCTTAAAGAAAAACGTAACCAATAATAACTAAGATGGTAGTGTTTTTTTATCGCACTTAATTGAACAGTGATGTCGTACATCGATCGGTCAGTGGAAAAAATGATTTTATTTAGATTGGCCACTAATATTGACCGTCGTATAAGAATCTTATAAAATTCTTATGGGCAAACACCGCAGTAATAATATATTGACTATCGTAAGAAGCTCTAACCCTTAGTGCAGTGCCAAAAATTGTAAAACTTTTTTTTCATAATTGTATAATTTTTTAAAAATATCATCCGTATTTTTTGTAGGCCCTAGAGGAACAGTTAGTACCTAGTGGATAATACTGCCCTGGCCATGTATATTTTGCTACGATCATAATTTCATCAATTACCGTTTTCTTATATGAAGTTTCTTGTGCGTTAGAAATTAAAACCGTTTCCCCATACTTAATAAAGTCAACATTAAACTCAATGGGTTCTTTCGGTTTTACCGTAGTTTCTGACATTGATACGAAAAATTGAAATGAAAAAATTGAATTATTTAAAACATATAAAATATACAAAAAACTGATTTCTTTGTTTCTTAGCAAATTTATTAAACAGTGCTTTATTTTTATACGTCCAAAACGACAATGTTACGATAAACTGCAGGAAGTAATGTTCATTCTAAAAACGATTCTTATTAAGATTTTATTATTTAAAAAAATGTATTCCTTTTTATTAAAGATTTTTTTACTTAAAGTGGACATATTATTTTGCTTTTTACTCAATTATAAAAAAAAATAATAAAAAAATAGAACAACATTAGCGAATAATATTCTATTAAAATTAAAATTAATATACATGTATAAGAATCTAATAAATTTTTATAATTATTTGCGATCGCGAATTTAAAAATGTTTAAAATACAACCTAAAAATTACCTCTACGAGTACCCCACAATGTTTTTTTACGTATAGACTCGTTTCGGATTCAATACAGCATTAATTAGCGTGGTGTAAAGATGTGTTTTTGTTTTATTGACGTTCATGTCGACTTGTAAAATTGTCTAAACAAATGTGTTCCGTCTTTAGTCGACAAAAACTTTGGCGGAAAACCCCAACCGCAGTTTATAGATGTCGCTTTATAATAGAACTTTTAACTATCACGTTGCTCAGAAAACGTTACTCTCGGTCTAATTTTCAAATACTCACAATTGATCCGTGAAAATTCAACGATTTTAACAATTAACCGATTTTATTCGTGTTAATTATTATATTTAAAATATAATAGTAGTGACCGACCCCAAGTAGTTGGGATCGGTTGGGCGAGGAAAAAGAAGAAGAAAATATAATATTAATATATTTGAAATACACTATGTATTTGTGTGGCTTAATTCCAAAAACAAATCGCGAAATGAGATTTTGGAAAATACCTATTTGCAAATATAAGAATCCCAATTAAAGTATTATTATTCAAATAGCGATGACTTTACGAAGTATCCCCCCAGTGTAAAGTATATTATTTTAAGTAAATTTTTCCTAAACGCCAAGGCAAAGATTACGGTGACTTTCTTGTAGGTGAGCGATTTAATCGACACGTTTTCCTGTTATGTACAGGCGCACACGTATTGAATATTATTCTTATTGTCGTTATTCTGTTTTAATTACCGTAATAATACATTTTACAAACGCGTTTGTAATTAGATTAACTACGTTTGACATTGTGCGTCTGAACCGCGCAGAGATTAAAATAAAATGCATACGACCCTCGGCGTAAAAGTACAGTTATTTTACGGTAGCGTAAGAAGAAGAAAAGCCAAGAAAAGAGAACAGAACTCTGAGAAAATCCAAAAATAATTGACTCACAAGACGGTGCCTGACACATCGTTAGAGCCAGTCGAATATAAGCGCG